CCCGAGTCTTCTTGATGCTTTTGCTGTCACAGGCCCAGGAGCAGACCACGGAAGGTCTTAGATCCTCAGGTGAGGGACAGGCTCAGGAGTGAGCAGGTCCCACCTGGGCCAGCAGGTGTGGTGTGGGGCTGGGCCTGGTACTACCCTTCCCCATGCTGGAGGCCGGGCCCTCAAGTGCTTCTAGTCTAGACCATGGCTCCCTGGTCCTGCACACCTGAGGTGTGCCACAGTCCAAGTGGTTCACTGAGGGCTGGGAGCAGTCTGTAAAGTGCCCCCCCCCACCCCCTACATTGAGAACCCTTGCCCTGAAGCAAGCAGGGAAATCTCTTAGCTGTGGGTTCTTCCCAGATGGGAAGTGGATCTCAGCTCCCAGCAATTCCCAGGGGGCTGGGATGGAAAGGAAGCTGCTGCTAGTGCAGATGGGTCTAGGCCTTGCTTCCTCTGCTCCTCATCTTCCAGCCTTTTAGCAACCTGATTCAGTCATTTGGTGGAATTGAGGTGAGGGGTAATAAAGGGGCACCACGTGGATACTTCCCTCCCTCCACCCAGCTTTCCAGTGCCTAAGGTAGCAGTGACCACCCCGCTGGCCCCTGCTTCCCCCAGGGGCTGTGTGTAGCAGGATTGAGATCACCCGGCCCCAAGGGAGGGCGATTCCTACAGGGGAGAGCTGGCTATGGTGGGCCCCCCTCCCAGCCCTCCCTGGCTGGCACCCCCTCCCCTCCCCTTGCTGCAGAGACAGGAGCCCCATGGCCCCTGGGGGTGGGGGGATGAAACCCAGCCACCTGCTAGGGAATGTGGCCACTGCCTCTGCTAGACCTGGACCATGAAGCTAAGGGAGGGCACCTCAGGGTCCCAGGGTGGCAGTGCTGCCAGGAAAGGATCTGAGAAAAGCCTAGAAAAGGGAAGGGGCTGAACGCCACCCCAGGACTAGATGAGAAGTGCCTCCTTTGCCTGTGCCCTGAGGGGTCAGCCATGAACTCCCAGAAGTGGTTTCAAGGGGCAGGGGAGGGGCCTCCCACTAGTCTGGAGGGTGGAAGTGGAACAGCCCATTCCTATCCTCTGAGGGAAATTGGCTGGGAACCTATCTGGAGCAGCCTCTTTTCCTGCCCCTCAGCTGGGACTCAGCCCCAAGTGCACCTACTCTGATACTGATGGGTCTGGTCGTGAGAAGTAGTTGGGCAGGGAGACGTGGTGCTCAGATGCGGTGAGGGGGAGGGGGAGGGCTGGGCTCGCAGATATCCTGGGCACTGGGGAGGCAAGAGTGGCCTGGAGCCTGAGATACGGGTTCGGAAGTTGTCCTTCTGAGTCGGGGCTGAGGCAGCCAACAGGCAAAAATCTGAGGGCCAGTTGTTTCAGGGGAAGTAAAAAGGCCTAATGGTCCTGAATGCTGTCCTGGCCACCTCGCCTTCAGGCAAGCCTCCCTCAATTGTCTGGAGACTTCAGGAGGCCCAGCCTTCACCATGCAGGAGGTGGGGGGGGTGTGCGCGACAGTGTGCTGGAGGTGGTCTCGGGGCCCAGGTGGTGGTGTGCACTTGTGTGTGTGTGTGTGTGTGTGCAGTTGTACGCATGTTGCTGGGCCACACTCTGGGGTGCTGCCTGCCCTCTTCATGTGACTGGGGGCAGTTTCCCAAGCAGGGAGGGTGCATGACTGCCTCTCTTCCTGCTCCCAGCCAGCTGTGTTTCTGTCTAGGCTCTGACTCAGGCTGGCAGCAGATCCCTGTGCCTGTCAGGTTGGGTGTGCTGCTGGAAGGACAGAGTGGTGGGGTGGGGGCAGGGCAGGGTCTCCTGGGGCTGGCTCTTAAGGCACTGTCCTGGGTCACTGAAAGGTCAAGTTATTGGCTGGAGGGGGTAGGTGTGCCCCAGGCTTTCCCAGCTCAGAATCTGAGAGCCTCATCCCCCACCTCGTCCAGTCCCTAAGGCCCTGGTTTTCTGCTTCCAGGGTGGCCACAAACCCAAAACAGGGTCCCTGAACTCTCTTGCTGGCCTTGGTTTCCCCATTTGTAAAAGGAGTTGGGGGAATAAGGAGGGGATTGGTGGCACCTTGTCTTTGGGAAGCCAGCTAGGTGTGGATGGGAGGTAGGGGTCAAGGGGTCAGACTTGAGGGTCACTCTGAGGTCCACTCAGAGGAAGAAAAAGACCCACCTGTCGAGTGGACACTTACTGGGAGCTAGGTTCTGTGCAATCTGCTTTGCAGACCTTATTTTGTGTGCAAAACCCAGGGGTTTATTCAGCAAACACATTATGCATCTGTAGGCTGCTGGGGCCTTTATGGGTCTCAGCTGGTAAGGCAGCAAAACCCCATTATCAAGAGGCCTTGAGTTTTGTTTGGAGATCAGACTGCGGTTTGTAAGACAGACTATAGAATAGTGCTGTCCTATAGATCTTTCTGTTAGATGGTCACGTTTTGTGTCTGTAGTGTCCAGTATATTAGCCACTAGCTACAAGTAGCTACTGAACACTTGAACTGAGGCTGGTGCAACTGAAGAACTTATGCTTAACTTTTTATTTTTAATTAACCTAAAATGAAGTCGCCACACATGACTAGTGGCCACTGTACTGGACAGCACAGCTGCAGAGGGAGAGCAGAATGTGACAGCCCCACTGTACGGCCAGGACAGGGAGGGACCTGCACAGACTCCGAGCAGCGGCCATGGAAGGTTTCCTAGAGGAGTGGGGCCTGAAGTTGGGCCTTGAAGGTTGTAGGCTGCAGAAGAACAGCAGGGTGCTGGGAGTTCAAATGTGCAGAGTGTCAGGGACAGAATAGCAGCCCACCTAGCTGGGAGAATCAGGTCATAGGAGAGATTAACGTGTTTGGAAGGAGGGGTCATTGAGGGCTCTTGAGCAGGAGAGAGACCCTGTTTGAAGAGGTGTGTCTGGTGAAGGAGGATGACAGGGTGGATGAACAGCCGGGATGGGTAGGGCTGCGAGGAGACGGGTTGCGGAGGCAGGAGATCAAGAGCTGAGAAGAGTAGCATGGTCCAGCACCTTCCAGCACACTGGCCTTGGGTCTTAGGAGAGCCGGAATCTCCTTTCCACCTGGGTCCAGCTGAGGGGCTGAGGAAGCTAGCAGGGGCTTCAGAGGCCTAACTCTTGGCGTCAGGAATAAGCGAGGAGCATAGGGTGAGACCTTTGGACTGGGCCAGAGGACTTGTGTGACCTGGGCAGGCTGTTTGACCCTCTGCGTCATCTCCAAGGTGGTGCTCCCCAGAGAGAGGCCGCATGACTTGGATAAGATCAGACCCTACTGCCTGATCACTTAGGTTTGTATTCCAGCTCTGACACTGTGTGACTTTGGATGAATCACTTAACCTCTCTGGTTTCCTTTTCTCTGAAATGAGAATAATAATAGTACTTATTTCACAGCATTACTGGAATGATTAGATAAGTCTCTACAGGAAAAGAGCTTAGAATGGAAGCTGGCCTGACCCTGCCCTCAGAAAGCTGATGGTTTAGATATATGTGGGAAGCTATCCCAGGCTTTCTGCTCCTGGGGACAGTCTGGACAGGCAGCTGTCACCAGGCCCCTGGGATTGCATGGGGACCAGAAGTGGTTGGGTGGCAGAAATTTTAGGTCATCTGGGTCAAAGGAGCTATAGGATGAGTCTGTTCTGTGGAGGGAAGAATGGGGCTCACCCATCTCAGCCCCCTCTGATGCCCCTACCCCAACTGTCTCTGCAGAAGATGCTGATGAAGCAGCAGGACCGGCTGGAGGAGCGAGAACAGGACATTGAGGACCAGCTGTACAAACTCGAGTCAGACAAGCGCCTGGTGGAGGTAGCTAAGCTCAAGCCCAGGGTATGGGGTGGGGGTGGCTTGAGTACAGGCCTTGGGCTAGTTCCTTTCTTGGTCTAGAATCTGTGGTTGGCTCTGTACCAGGATCCCTTGGTCAGTCATTCAACAAACTATCAACAGATGAGCCCCCACTGGTGCTGTGGTTGCTGGCCCAGAGCCCAGTGCTACCAGTTGGGGATTGGCAGGTCAGAGCTTGCCCTCGGGAGCCCTGGGGTTTGGGGTCCCAGACTCCCCCATCCAGGATGTGAGACAGGCAGGATCAGCAGCCCAAGGTCCCTAGGACTCACCTGCCCACCCACTTGTGCCCCTGCGCCTGCAGGAGAAGGTGAGCCAACTGAAGGAGGAAGTGCGGCTGCAGTACGAGAAGCTGCACCAGCTGCTGGACGAGGACCTGCGGCAGACGGTGGAGGTCCTGGACAAGGCCCAGGCCAAGTTCTGCAGCGAGAACGCAGCGCAGGCGCTGCATCTCGGGGAGCGCATGCAGGAGGCCAAGAAGCTGCTGGGCTCCCTGCAGCTGCTCTTCGACAAGACAGAGGATGTCAGCTTCATGAAGGTGGGCTGAGCCTGGGACCCGCTGGTGGGACTCAGGGGGCATTTCTAAATTGGAGTCTGCAGTGCTTTCCCAACCAGTTTTCCCCACCAGTGTGCTCACAGGGCTTCGGAGCCAGCCTGCATGGATTCAAAACCCTCCCACCCTGTTCTTCCTAGCTTTTTGACCTTGGGCAAGTCATAATGTGTTCCCTAGGCCTCAGCTCTCTCACTTACAAAATGGGGTTGATAATACAGATCTATTATCTGTTATTCACAATTCCAAAATTTAAAACTCTCTGAAAATTGAAAGAAAAAAAATTCTGGCCATTCATTTGATAGCAAAAATGGACCTGAACTGATGTTGGCAATTTACAGTCTCTATCTTGCTTGGTATGAATACTCAAACATGTTGCTGCAGAAATGCTGATGTGTTAGATTATGGTGTCCAACTGAGGATGATATGTAATATATGCTACATCATATTTCTGTTCCAAAATCCAGAAAATTCTAAAACACATCTTTCCCCAAAGATTTTGCATGAAAGATTGAGTGCCTGCAGAACCTTCCTCCTAGGGTAGTTGTGTGGATAAAATGATGGACGTATAGACAGCACTGACAGTGTTGTCTGTCGCATAACAAGTGCTCAGTCTTCTAAAAGTGGAGGCACCCCTGCCTCTGCCACACTCTGGCTAGAATCAGAAGGCGAGCCCCTCCTGAGGAGAGGGAGGATGGGGCAGCTTCCATCTTTCCCTCTCCCGTGCTGCCTTTCCCACTGACTAACCCTTTTCTCTCCCCCAGAACACCAAGTCTGTGAAAATCCTAATGGACAGGTGAGCTGATGGCCACCGGCCCTCAAGGGAACACATCTGGGGGAGGGTAGGGAGGGCCAGGCCCATCGGGGGGAGGTAGGGCGGGCTTACCGGTGATACCTCCTCACAGCAGATGCCCCGTCCACTGCCCCCAGGACCCAGACCTGCACGGGCAGCAGCCTTTCTCCCCCTAAGATCGGCCACCTGAACTCCAAGCTCTTCCTGAACGAGGTGGCCAAGAAGGAGAAGCAGCTGCGGAAGATGCTAGAAGGTGAGGATGGGATCCTCAATCAGAGAGAACCCTTTGGGCAGGGGTAAATGCCAGAAACTTCCCCGAGAGAGGCAGCTTGGCTTAGATAGACCTTTCTTCATATCCCGGCTTTGCTACTTAAAGCTGTGGGACATTGGGCAAGCCGTGTTACCTCCCCCAGCCTCAGTTTCTTCAGCTGTAAAATGGGAATAATAATAATAGCAGCTACTCACTGATGAAGTAGTGAGCATCAAGATGGTGCATGATGTAATATGCTTGGTCCTAAAGCCAGAAAAGGTCCCCAGGGGAGAGGAGGCCTGGGTTGCCTGGGATACGGGCTTTAGTGACTTTTCACGCAAACTCTCCACAGGCCCCTTCAGCACACCGGTGCCCTTCCTGCAGAGCGTCCCCCTGTACCCCTGTGGCGTGAGCAGCTCTGGGGCGGAAAAACGCAAGCACTCAACAGCCTTCCCTGAGGCCAGTTTCCTAGAGACATCGTCGGGCCCCGTGGGCAGCCAGTATGGGGCAGCGGGTGCCACCAGCGGCGAGGGCCAGTCAGGGCAGCCCCTGGGCCCCTGCAGCTCCACGCAGCACTTGGTGGCCCTGCCGGGCAGCACCCAACCAGTGCACTCAAGTCCTGTGTTCCCCCCATCGCAGTATCCCAATGGCTCTGCCGCCCAGCAGCCCATGCTCCCCCAGTATGGCGGCCGCAAGATTCTCGTCTGTTCTGTGGACAACTGTTACTGTTCTTCCGTGGCCAACCACGGCGGCCACCAGCCCTACCCCCGCTCCGGCCACTTCCCCTGGACAGTGCCCTCACAGGAGTACTCACACCCGCTCCCGCCCACACCCTCCGTCCCCCAGTCCCTTCCCGGCCTGGCGGTCAGAGACTGGCTCGACGCCTCCCAGCAGCCTGGCCACCAGGATTTCTACAGGGTGTATGGGCAGCCGTCCACCAAACACTACGTGACGAGCTAACGCCACGCGGGCAGTGGGGCGCTGGGGAGTCCTCCCCCCCAGTTCTCGATGGCTCGGGAATGATGCATCCAGAGACCTGCCCTTCTACCTTCCTGTCCTCCCGCCCTTCCTCCTTCATTCCCCCAAGTCTTTTCCTTTTGGATTTTGTTTTGTTTGGGGCTTGTTTTGATTTTTTTTTTTTTTATTCTTATCTGTAGTCTTCCTTCCGGTACGGGACCGGGCGGGGTAGGGTACGAACGACGGGGACGGGCGTCGGTCCGGTCCGGGTTCGGGGGGTCCGGGTC